GAATTTATAACATAGCAATAGGGTGTCCATTGCTTGACTAGAATCACTCAGTTAGAGCCATCTATGTTCTGAATTGTTAACTTCTAGTTGCACACAATAAGGAATTGCTTGAAGGTAACCAAACACGAATAGGGTGACCGTAGCTTTTAAAGCAGCTAGAGGTTTCTTTTTTTGACCTTTTGTCCAGAAGAAATAGCTTTGAAGAAAGTTTGCAATGTTCACGTTTTTTACCCCCCCCTCTTAAAAATTAAGAAACCCAAAATTTTCCAGCAGGAATCTAAATTATTAAGAATAATGGGACAAACACGATTCTAAACCTTCAACTTTACTTGTGGGACTTCAGTTTTTTGGTTTTTTTTTTAAAAAGTACCAGCAAACTAAAAAAGAAAGTAACTTTAAGTACTGTTCATTGTCCTTTTGTAGGTCGTGTGTGTAATTCTGCCCCCACAAGATATATGGCTTCAGAAGTTCAGAAAATGCTGCAAAACTTGCCAAATTTCTCTTTATTTTGCCAGTTAAGAGCCAAAAGTTAAGTATCATAATTGGAAGTTGTTTCCTTTTTTACATATAAAAATGTGAGAAAGTTTAAGGAAATGTGGTTTGGTTTTGTTAATGTTGAAAATGAAACATCGTGGGGCTTTAAAAATTCCATAAGAGTAATACCAAGTGGATGGACTCAGAAAATATGTATTGCTAATATGGTATGTAGGAATGGCAGGAGCGTCCTCAGAGTTGGTATGAATGAAGTACTTCCAGCATAGTGTTGCTGAATTACCATTGAACCGTTTTAATGTCTCAGAACACTTACGTGGATTGTCCACTTACTAGTTTTTTCAGTTGAGGTCATTACTTTGAAAAGCTGTGCATGGTCTGGTAGTTAGTACGGAGGACTGGGAGTCAGAAGGTTTGGGTTCTACAGTGTTCCCAGTCTGCCAAGCCCAAGTTAGAAATTTGGACCTTAGTGACTTTCCAAAATTTGAGTGCCTAGTGTCAGGCATCTAAACCATATTTAGGTACCTATATAAGTCTCCTGATTTTTAGAGGTGCAGAGCACTGAACAGTATGTGATTTTTAAGTTGCTGCTTTTATTGGTCACAAGTTCCTTAAAGTGTCCTTTGTAAAGCTTAATTTTAAGAATTCTGTTGTGTTAGGTTCTGTATGAACACACACACAATGCTGTATTAAAACACGTAGCCCAGATGAGCTGACAGTCTAAACTGAGATAAATGAGCGTGACAGGAAGGGAGAGTTAGGAGGAAGGGCAAGTACAACTAAGATCTCTCTCTCTCTCTCATACTTATGTGGCCCCCATTACCACAGTGTGTGAGCATCTCACAATCTTTAATGAATTTTAGCTTGCAGGACTCTCTGAAGCAGGGAGTACTAGTATCCCTGTTTTATAAATGAGGAACTGAGGCACAGAGAGACTAAGCCTGTATACTGTACTGCAAGGTGGAGTATGAGGGTGTGAATTTCAGAGTGCACCAAAGTGTTGTGTTCTAACTGCTCCATGGTGATGTTGTTAGGGTGAATTAAAGTGTACCTAATTTGCATTAAAGTAGTACTATTTGAAAGAGGAATACATTAACACGAGCTGGGTACCATTTAGTTTGCACCAGCAGCATCAACGTGGGGCAGTTAGAGTGCAACAATTTGGTCTGCTCTTCAGTTACTTGGCGCGTGAACACCTTTATCTTTTAGGAGGAACTTAATTAGGAAATAAAATCAGAACCTCTTAGCAAGTACAGTTAAATTAAGTATACTGGACAAACTTAAAAATCTGGCAGTGAATGCAAGAGTAATGTTCAGTTCTCTTGCTGCTTATTTTTAAAAAAATCTTTACGGTCACTCCTTTAAATTCCTCGCGTTGAGGATTAGTGTAGGAAGATATTTATGTATGACATGCATGTGTGTGCACACATGGAAAGGGTATACAAAGGGTATACATATGCAGATATGTGAACATTTTCCCAGTAATGGGGGAATGAATATTTTCCCTCTATTTCTGGTACTAGAAATCTTTACATAGACGGTGAAGAGGGACTTGAAAATTGCATCTTTCTTGGGGTAGGGAGTTAGGGGTGAACTGACTTGCATCTCAGCTAAAGTTACTGATGCAATTTCCTACTTTATCCTAATGCTGTCTCTCTCTCCATTTCTCCTCATCCAAGATAATCGGAAAGCTTTCTCTGTATGTTGTGTGGTATTATTCTAGCAATGAAGGTCAGTCAGTCAGTCAGTGTTAATCAGAACTGTTGAAATAGCTGTATATTTCTCATTGCTTTTCTTGATTATTTGGCCTTAAGTCAAAGTGGAGACTCTTCAAACAGAGCTGTGTAACAGACAATAGCTAAACTTTAATCAGTCAACTCTTTCAGATTTGTAAATCAGCTCTGTAAACCTTGATTACTTGCCCTCTTTCAGCATTACAATTTCAAAGTCATCACATGGGGGAGTCTAAATTTAATCTGCCGGTCATGCATTACCCCCTCTTTCATTTTAGTCTTTTTAAAGAATGTCTCCTTTCTTTTTCACTGTTTAAATTCCTTGTTAACAAAGAGATTCTTGTACTGTTTTTAAGTCACGTTTTTTAAAGCTGTTTCTTGTCCATCTTATGTAAAAGATATTGGCAGTCTCTGGAGTTCTACATTGGTGAAGAAAACAGCAAGCATGACTTCCAATTTTCTGCTACATTGTTCACTTTACTTTATCCTCCAACTACTCCCATCCCACTACTCTGGGGTTGGGGCTATAATCTCTGTTTGTACAACTCCTAGTATAATGGGAGCCTAATACATTATTGCAGTACCTATTACTATTGTAATATTATTACTAATAACAGTAATGTAGTTTCTTCTTTGAGGGTATGTTAAATTAGGTTTAATCATATAGTTTAAATATAATCCTATAGGTAGTGGTTATGATGCAGTTTGTGTTCCCGAGTGATAGACACTTATGGGAGGTTTGAAATATCTAGGATGGAATTTTCAAAAGTGCTTACACTGGTTTAACTCTGCTCCCATCTGAAGACTTTTGAAAATCCTACTCATAGAGCTTAATGTGCCACTGACATCCTCTGCATAAAAAGTGACCTAGGGGTTAACATTAATAAAGGATGTTTGTTTTAAACAACTCGGACAGGTAAGTGGGTGATACCGACAAGTTTGATGAAAGGAGATGGAGATGCTGCAACTTTAAAAAAAAAAATTCCAGCTTTTGGGATGTTTTCCATGTTCTGTGAAAAGAATAAAATGTATTTTCCTTTAATTATACACTTTTTTTCCTCTCCCGCTCAAGTTGATGGAATTCAGTGTTTACCTAGCCCTTCACTTAAAGTAATGTTAGTTTTCATGTTGCTTAAAGTTGGCTTAAAGGACTTTATGATACTATTTGCAAGATATGTTTGTAAAACTAATCAGAACATTTGAGACTTTTACTGTCTCTCAAATTCTAAAAATCTCAATAGTCACTTCTTTAAACTCTTCCCCCCCCCCCCCCGCCACCCACGACAAGCTAAAAGCAGCATAGCTTTGAGATTTCCATCTTCTGTTTTCACCTTCTATATAGGAATCAAGTTTCAGTGTGTCAGGATACTGCAATATATTAATCCTTAAATAATCTGTATCATTTAAACAGCAACAAAAATAAACACTGCTTGGCTTTTGGAGTGATTAAAAGGCTGTAATTTGCCTCTAAGAATATTTCTAAACAATTTGATCACTGAGCCTCTTCTATAAATAGGGGGACTTACTTTCTGGGAATATGTCACCTTATTTGGAAACAATACATGTTGGAAATGATATACGCTGTAGCTGTGTGCAATAGAGCATGGCATGGGTATCCAAAAAGGAGAGTATAAAGAGTATTTAATAATGGGAAATAACCAACATAAAAACAATTAAAACCCTAAATTATTTAGCATGAATCATTTGACATTATTTATATGATGAGGAATAGATTTAGGGCTCATAGATTAAAAAGATATTTTATAGATCCTCCCTACATATATGTGTATAAATTCTCTACCTGCTGTGTCTAACTTTTGTATGCAGCCAGAGAGCTATTCATTGGCTTGGTGTATACATTAACAACATAATTACTACTAACATCATGAATTATAAATATCAAAACATTTTGTTTTTGATCAGCACTGAGATCAGTCAACATTGATGCTGATGACTTAAATAGTGAAATATTAACTTGAATTTGTAGTTTCTGATTATCTCACTATTTTCTAAGGAAGAAAACTGGAAAGATCACATCAGTAGTCATGATTTCTTTTTTCCTATTCCACAGACTAGAGATTTAGTTTAGCTTAGACTGTTATAAATTTAGTGTGGCTACATGTTTTGTATGTGTAGTTTATGTTCATTAAATAGTTTTGGTATATTAATGTGAAAACATTACAATATATAGCATTCTGTTTAAAGCATAATTTTATATTAAATCTTAAAATGTGAGAGATTAGTTCTACTGGAGAATACCTTTAATGTAAAAATAACTACTAAAGTTTAGCTGCTCTTTAGTTATCTGTAACCCTACTTACTCCTCTAGTTTTTTAAAGTCCATTCTCAAAAAATATGGGGGAATTAACATTAAACAGTGCAACTAGAAATAACTGCTTTTATCTTCAACAAATAAAACAAAACAAAACAAAAAAGAAAACGACTTTGTTGCCCTGCTAAAAGGGATTTTTAATTGGATTAAGTACAGCTCAACATCAGCAGAGATTTAATATTCATGTGATGGCCTAAAGGTGAATGTAGTTTCTATATACAAATCTTTGCAAACCCCACATAATAAAGAGTCCTTTGAGTGCAACTGTTGACCTCTGGCAGAGTAGAAGTTGTGTATGAAATGCATGGCCTCTCAGTTTTTTTCAGTTTAAACCTTCCCCTGGCCTCTTTAGTACTATAGAATGAATTTTCAAGGAATCTTGCTCTTATTACCTAAAGTCTGAGTATAGTAAAGGCTGTTTTTCTCTCCGTTCTTTCATGCAGGTTAGTACACAGAATATGAAGATGGGTGGGCTGCCTCGTACCACTCCACCTACCCAGAAACCGCCCAGCCCACCAATGTCAGGAAAAGGAACGATTGGGTGAGCACAATTACTGTAGACTTAATATTTTTGTTGAGAGTAGATGGGGAAGAGATATTCCTAAACAGCTGAGCACCTAAATTTCTACCAGGGCAAAAATTTTAAACATCTTCCTTATTCTTGCTTCTTGTCCACCATCTAAAGATGGGCTGTGAGGCTTGGAGAAGTTGTACCACCATCCTTTTCATTGACCACATCTTAAATTGTAAGTGATGTGTTGCTCACTGTAGATGATGAAGGTCATTAGAAGTTTTATTCAGGAAGACTTCCTTTGATTTCTTTTGGCTTGTATTATCTGTGGTGGATAGAATTAGTGGTGTGTTTTTTCTGACAGGTTGTACTGTCTATCTGCAGTAGCTAATGTAATATTTAAATTGACATACTGTGTCACAGGTTGGGCATATATGCTGTGAATGGTAAAATGTGCTTTCCAGTGGAGCTATGAACCTGAATTCTACATTTTCTTCATCTGATAGTCCTTATGAATTGTGTCATGAGGAACAGCAGCCCTTCTAGTTATTGCATTGATGTAGTGTATGTTTGTGTTAGAATTCTCTGAAATGCTTCTGGTTCCATGTGCAGGGCCAATTAGACAGGCAGAACTGCAAGGTCTGAATGTGTGGATGAAATGAGGGTGTAGGAAGGAGGGGTTTAGATTTATTAGGAACTGGGGAAACTTTTGGGAAACGGGAGCCTACACAGGAAGGATGGATTCCACCTAAACCAAAATGGAACCAGATTGTTGGTGCTTAAAATTAAAAAGGTCGTAAAGCAGTTTTTAAACTAAGGTCTGGGGGAAAGCCGACAGGTACAGAGGAGCACGTGGTTCGGACATCCCTTAGGGGAGGATCTATAAATGGAGATTCCTGATGTCCTAATAAGAAGGAGAGGATGGAAGATGAAATACTTGTGTGACCTGCGTAGTGTGACCTGATGAGAAACAGTCAAATGAAAAAAAGTCCCATTCAATTACATCATGTGATGGTAGGCAGCTAAAAAGTGACAGGTTTTTAAAGTGCTTATATACCAATGCTAGAAGTCTAAATAATATGGGTGAACTAGAGTGCCTCATATTAAATGAGGATATTGATATAATAGGCATCACAGAAACTTGGTGTAATGAGGATAGTCAATGGGAAGCAGTAATAACAGGCTACAAAATATATTGGAAGGACAGAACAGGTTGTGCTGGTGGGGCAGTGATGCTACATGTGAAAGAAAGTGTAGAATCTAATAAAGTAAAAATCTTAAATTAACCAAACTGTACCATAGAATCTCTATGGATAGTAATTCCATGCTTAAATAATAAGAATATAGCAGTAGGCATATCTTACAGACCACCTGACCAGGGTGGTGATAGTGACTGTGAAATGCTCAGGGAGATTAGAGAGGCTATTAAAATAAAAAAACTCAATAAGAATGGGGGATTTCAGCTATCCCCATATTGACTGGGTACGTATCACCTTAGGAAGGGATGCAGAGATTAAGTTTCTTGACACCTTAAATGACTGCTTCTTGGAGCAGTTAGTCCTGGAACCCACAAGAGGAGAGGCAATTCTTGGTTTAGTCCTAAATGGAGCACAGGTTCAGGTCGCAAGAGGTGAGTATAGCTGGATCGCTTGGTAATAGTGACCATAATATAATAATATTTAACATCCCTGTGGCGGGGAAAACACCACGGTGACCCAACAGAAAGGGGAACTACACAAAAATTAGGAGGTTAGTTAAACAGAAATTAAAGGGTACAGTGCCAAAGGTAAAATCCCTGCAAACTGCATGGAAACTTTTTAAAGACACCATAATAGAGGCTCAACTTAAATGTATACCCCAAATTAAAAAACATAGAGAACCAAAAAAGAGCCACCGTGACTAAACAACAAAGTAAAAAAAGCAGTGAGAGGCAAAAAGGTATCTTTTAAAAAGTGGAAGTTAAATCCTAACGATGAAAATAGAAAGGAGCATATACTCTGGGAAATGAAATGTAAAAATATAATTAGGAAGGCTAAAAAAGAATTTGAAGAACAGCTAGCCAAAGACTCAAAAAGTAGTACCAATTTTTTTAAGTACATCTGAAGCAGGAAGCCTGCTAAACAACCAGTGGGGCCACTGAACGATTGATGTGCTAACGGAGCACTCAAGGACGATAAGGCCATTGCGGAGAAACTAAATGAATTCTTTGCATTGGTCTTCATGGTTGAGGATTTGAGGGAGATTCCCAAACCTGAGCCATTCTTTTTTCGGTGACAAATCTGAGGAACTGTCCCAGACTGAGGTGTCATTAGAGGAGGTTTGGAACAAATTGATAAACTAAACAGTATAAGTCACCAGGACGAGATGGTATTCACCCAACATTTCTGAAAGATTACTAACTGTCATCTGTAACCTATCATTTAAATTAGCTTCTGTACCAAATGACTGGAGGATAGCTAATGTGACGCAAGTTTTTAAAAAGGGCTCCAGAGGAGACCCTGGCAATTACAGGCCTGTAAGCCTGACTTCAGTACAGGGCAAACTGGCTGAAACTATAGGAAAGAACAAGATTGTCAGACACATAGATGAACATAATTTGTTGGGGAATAGTCAACATGTTTTCTGTAAAGGAAAATCATGCCTTATCAATCTACTAGAATTCTTTGAGGGGGTCAGCAGGCATGTGGAAAAAGTGGATCCAGTGGATATAGTGTATTTAGATTTTCAGAAAGCCTTTGACAAGGTCCCTCACCAAAGGCTCCTAAGCAAAGTAAGCAGTCATGGGATAAGAAGGAAGGTTCTCTCCTGGATTGGTAACTTGATAAAAGATAGGAAATAAAGGGTAGGAATAAATGGAGAGAGCTAAATAGTGGTGTCCCCCAGGGGTCTGTACTAGGGCCACTCCTATTTAACGTATTCATAACTGATCTGGAAAAATGGGTAAATAATGAGGTGGCAAAATTTGTAGATGACACAAAACTATTCAAGATAGTTAAGTCCCAGGCAGACTGCGAAGAGCTACAAAAGGATCTCTCAAAACTGGGTGACTGGGCAACAAAACGGCAGATGAAATTCAGTGTTGATAAATGCAAAGTAATGCACATTGGAAAACATAATCCCAACTATACATATAAAATGATGGGATCTAAATTAGCTGTTACCACTCAAGAAAGAGATCTTGGAGTCATTGTGGATAGTTCTCTGAAAACATCCACTCAATGTGCAGCAGCAGTCAAAAAAGTGAACAGAATGTTGGGTATCATTAAGAAAGGGATGATAATAAGACAGAAAATATCATATTTCCTCTGTATAAATTCACAGTACGCCCACATCTTGAATACTGCGTGCAGATGTGGTTGCCCCATCTCAAAAAAGATATATTGGACTTGGAAAATGTTCAGAAAAGGGCAACAAAAATGATTAGGGGTATGGAACAGCTTCCGTATGAAGAGATTTTAATAAGATTGGGACCTTTTTCAGCTTGGAAAAGAGACGATTAAGGGGGGATATGATTGAGGTCTATAAAATCATGACTAGTGTGAAGACAGTAAATAAGTGTTATTTACTCCTTCTCATAACACAAGAACTAGGGGCCACCAAATGAAATTAATAGACATCAGATTTAAAACAGAAGGAAGTACTTTTTCACACAACACACAGTCAACCTGTGGAACTTCTTGCCAGAGGATGTTGTGAAGGCCAAGACTCTAACAGGGTTCAAAAAAGAACTAGATAAATTAATGGGTGATAGGTCCATCAATGGCTATAAGCCAGGATGGGCAGAGATGGTGTCCGTACCCTCTGTTTGCCAGAAGCTGAAAATGGGCAACGGGGAATGGATCATTTGATGATTACCTGTTCTGTTCATTCCCTCTGGGTCTCCTGGCATTGGCCACTGTCGGAAGACAGGATACTGGGCTAGATGGACCTTTGGTCTGACCCAGTAGGGCCGTTCTTATGTTCATGTAATGGCTGATTCTGAAACAGAGTTTATTGTGTTAAATTCAAAATAAGATATTTACATGAATGCAAACTACTCTGATCTAGTAGTGGAAAGGCAAACTGACTCCTCAACTGCTCGATTCAGATCAATAAAATATGCAAAACAGAAAATTCCTGCATAGGAAAAGGGGTTTGGGTAATGGAGAGCATAAATCCCATCCTCCACTCCCTGGTCATAAATTGGACATTGCAGATGTGTGGAAAAACAATTTTTTTGAGTCCCTTAGATTTTGCGACACATATAACTATAATTTTACACTGGTAAAAGATCTGTGGCTGCGCTATATTCTGACTAAATTTGCTTCTGTACATATTGCTTTTTTTGTCCAGGCGTCACTCTCCCTATCGCACACTGGAGCCTGTGCGTCCTCCAGTGGTACCAAATGACTATGTACCTAGCCCAACACGTAATATGGCTCCCTCGCAACAGAGCCCTGTTAGAACAGCTTCTGTGAATCAGAGGAATCGCACATACAGGTATTCAGTCTACTCCTGCACAGAATGTGGTTGGCCTAATACAGTAATCTATACAAGATGCACTGCTGTGATTAAAATCAAACCCAGATCCTACTAATAACCTCACTAATACACTACTGACTGAGAAACCCATTGACTCATGGACACAGTTAAAACAATAATATTCCATCTTAAAATTTACTTCACTTTTTCCCCACAATTACACTTTAATTTTGTAAGGTACAGTACTTCATAATTTACTAGTAAAATTGTGTAGTAGAAACAGTCATAATAATATGGAACTTGGCAACATCACTCTATTTAATCTTTACAAAGATTTGGGGAGATTATTTTGTGTGCGCGAATTATGAGGTATGCTTATTGGAGGACTAAAAATTGCTCGTGCTTCATAATCAACGTTTTTTGAAAAATAAAAGATCTTGAGACTTTAGGATGAACAGTGCTAACCAGTTCTGTAAAAATGAAGTAATCACAACTTATAAATGAGTAAACGACTAGCTTTGAACCCAGAGAGATGTTATGATGTATAACAGAAGATACTGTTTCACTGACCACTAGAAGACTTCCTCAGTCCTAGGAATTGTCAGAGGTATAAGATGCCACCTGAGAGCTAAAATGTCTCTCTTAAAATATTAAATTCTTCTTCAAAAACATTTAAGTAGGCTGACAAATAAGCTTTATACCATATCCATTCTAAACACGAGAAAACTTGATTTTATTGACTTCAGCAAATGTTGATAGATTTAACCTTTCTACTCCCAACAATACTTAATGTGGAAGCATATATAATAGAATCTTGCAAATCCACATGCTTTATATAATCTGTACAAAAATGGGCTGTCTCTCTCCACTCAAAGATTTAATAGTATTGCAGTGGTGTCATGTTAGTTAGCTTTTCAAAATGCCGTATATACTTGTTAGATTACTAGTGCCAAACGAATGATCATTCTTGATCAAAACTAAATGCTTTTGTGAAAAATGATTTTTCTAATATCAGCTTCAGTTGTTTGTTTCTGCCAGTTATTAGTGTGAAGTAGCAAGTTTCTATTGTTGGGTTTTTATGTATTTTCTCCATGGACCAGATTATTAATGTTTTGGTGGCTTTGGTTTCTTTAGCAGCAGTGGGAGTAGTGGAGGGAGCCACCCAAGTAGTCGGAGCAGCAGTCGAGAGAACAGTGGAAGTGGAAGTGTGGGTGTACCTATTGCTGTCCCCACTCCATCTCCTCCTAGCGTGTATCCAGGTAAATAGGAATCTCACCTTCCTCTCTTTCTCCCCAAGTTCTAATGTTTGAGTTTATTTACTGTTGTGTTTGCAAGACTCTGAATCTCCAAGAGAATTTTTCAAGGCAACTTTTCCAGAACCATACAAACTTTAACATTGTTTTGGTGCTAATAATTAAAATGTGGGTACCTTGATATCCCCTGAGTGTGGAAATGTTTGGTTATGCTGATATTTGCCTGTTTGCCTTTTATGTCTATTGGTTAATCAAAACGGTTGATTCATTTAAACCAGCTGAGACAGGAACTCTTTGTCTAGACATGACTAGATAGGACACAGCACTGTTCCAAGAAAACAGTATCTCTAGCTCCTTTTAGCCAGATGAATGGTCTTTCATTTGCTTTCTGTTCGTGTAGGCATCTAGAAGTTTATTAGAAGCTTAGATTTATTTTTTTTAAAAAGGCAAGAACACAGTATACTTCAGTATACTCATGAAAGCAGAGCAGATTGTCATGGAAAAGGCAGTCTGTCAAACATAAACACTTTTGGTTCACAGAAATTAGTGTTTGTACTCTCCTTTCTTTTTCTCATACAGTGTTGAGGATTTTCTGCGTGCTTCTTTCCTTAGTCTTCTCAGTGAAATGAAGGAAAACCATTATTTTAGCATAAATTGTGTTCTGAAGAATTATTTTTCTGTGCCAAACATTGCTATGGGAAACTAATGGCTTCCCTCTGCTATATGTTTAATTTTGTACAAAAGCTACCAAGTTGTGTGCTACAGATTGGAGAGTAACTATCAAAGGGGGAAAGCAGTCTTTCTTAAAGTAATGACTTTCATTGAGATGTTCAGAGGTTGGTTTCCACATCTGTAATTGATAGCAGACTTTTTTGACCCAGGTACCCTTATTTGCTGCATATACTGGAATGCTCCTGTAACATAAGTGTCATTTTTTTCTCATCCCCTCTTTTTGTGCTAGAACATTTAATGTTTACTGAATATCTAACACTGAATTGTCAGAAGGCTTTTCTAATCCTTGCTAACCTGATCTCCTTATTAACTTTACCTCTTCCTCCTCTTTTCACATAGCCCCTGCTGGCTCAGCTGGCACTTCTCCCCTTCCTGCTACCTCTGCACCTGCTCCTTCCCCCCTTGCTCCTGCTACTGCCCCCTCCGCTGCCCCAGATGCTGCTGCTGCAGGAGCCCAGCCTCTTGCTGATGGCTTCACCTCTCCAACTCCCCCTGCTGTTTCTTCCACTCCCTCAGCAGGTGAGTCTTTGCTCCATTTCATAGACAGGTGAATCAAGATGTGAACACAATCTGAGGCTTTTCAGAGATCCTTGGGAGACATCAATCTTTATGGCTTTTTCTGGCTTATTTTTTTTGGATATGAGTTTTGTCGGAAAACACCTGTTCTTCCAGGAGATTGAGTATTAGTCCTATAAACAACCACTATGTTGTATGTTTGTGGCAGTGTGGATAATGTGAGCTCCCAGAGAAGCGTATGTAGGATAAAGGCAGAAATTCTTTTGACATCAAGCAGTTGTTTTTCTTCTAATATTGGATTCAAAATGGTGCCTCTAATGAAGTGTGTGGTGTGTATGGTTTTCTGTGACCTGACTCCCGTGATTAGGGCCCTACTAAATTCACGGCCATGAAAAACGTGTCATGGACCGTGAAATCTGGTCTCCCCCCGTGAAATCTGGTCTTTTGTGTGCTTTTACCCTATAACTAACCAGATTTCATGGGGAAGACCAGTGTTTCTCAAATTGAGGGTCCTGATCCAAGAGGGCATTGCAACAGGGTTATTTTAGGGGTCACAGTATTGCCACCCTTACTTCTGCGCTGTCTTCAGAGCTGGGTGGCCGCAGAGTGGGAGCTGTTGGCTGGGCACCCAGCTCTGAAGGCAGCGCCCCGCCAGCAGCAGCGCAGAAGTAAGGGTGGTAATACCATACCAGGCCATCCTTACTTGTGTGCTGCTGCTGGCTGCGGCTCTGCCTTCAGAGCTGGGAACCCGGTTAGCAGCTGCTGCTCTCCAGCAGCAGTGCAGAAGTGAGGGTAGCAGTACTGCAATCCCCACTACAATAACCTTGTGACCCCCCCCCCCCCCCCAACTCCTTTCGGGTCAGGATCCCTACAATTACAACACCATGAAAATTTTGTTTTAAATAGCTGAAATCATGAAATTTATGATTTTTAAAATCCTATGACCATGAAATTGACCAAAATGGATCGTGAGTTTGGTAGGGCCCTAACCATGAGGTGTATTGGGCCAACATCTCTCCTTTCCATTAGTTGTTGCAAAAGAGACATACATTTTTGTTTCACTACTAGGGAAATGGAAGTTTTAATACACAAATTGAGTCGTTTTCTGCCAAAAGACTTTGTTCAATAGGTGATATATACTGCGTGTACTCAAGCTTGCTTTCTTAACGTTTATAAAGCCTCTCTGCATTTTTATTTCTTTAATTGCTGAAGTTGCAACATGTTTTTTACTAAATATAATGTAAGACTAGTATGTATTGCCTTTTGTTTGATTGATTTGGATGTAGTATTGTTATGTAAAGATCTGTTTTATATATCAAAAATGGCTTACATGTGTTTGAAGTAACTGATTGTAATGGGTTCTGCCTCTGATCACAACGCTGTATTAGTTCGGATGTTTCATAACTGTGGTCTACATTCAGGCTTATTTAGAAATTTTGTAACATGCGAGAAAATATTCTTTAAGTAGTGTTTAGTTAAAGGGTTAAATTAAGCATGTATCATTATTTCCTAATCTCATATATAAGAATTCTTATAACAACTGTAGAGGCACCTGAGCTGTGATGAATCTCAGTGGCAACAAATCGTCATAATGTCTAAAGTATTTGTGCAGTTAGAAGATGGATTGATTTTCAGTTTTGATGCACTGGTTTATGAAAAATGTTACAGGTCTCTAGGTCTTAAACTGCACTACTTGTGGATTTTTGATAAAACAATCAGAATTAAATAGAATTGAAAAACTCAAGTCCTTTAATAAAAATTCAGATTATCTGATTTTTAAAAAATAATTTACTATCTTCCCTTTGTTAAGAAATAAAGTAAGAGCTGCCCACTTTCTCCTTATATTAGCCTAGTGTTCAGATGATTTCCCTGAAATAGGATGCATGAGGATAATAATTTTGTTTTGAGAATGAAGAAAGTCACTGTTTTTACCCTTCTAGGGAAAAAAAGGCCAATAGAAAAGCCACTAATTTTATTAAACAAAACCTGTTCTATGTGATTGACTTTGAGCATATTTATTCCTTAAATACAAAAAGTACACTGTTATAAATTCTGTAAATAAAACAAGAATCCAGTAATTCTCAGTCTACTTTACATCTTTTGTATTTTCCCGTGGATACAGATAACAGAGTTAGTGTTGAAAAAGTAACATGTTATGATATTTTTGCCAATCCAGATATGCTAAAAAAAACCCCACCACGGCTGATGTCAAGCTGGCTAGACAGGAACGCAGATTCTTAATGGATAAAATTCAGGCCTCCTGTCTTCCGTTGACTTTACCTACTAGCACAGAGGTGGGCAAACTACGGCCCGCGGGCCACTTACGGCCCACAGGACTGTCCTGCCCAGCCCCTGAGCTACCGGCCGGGGAGGCTACCCCCAGCCCCTCCCCTGCTGTTCCTCCTCCCCTGCAGCCTCTGTGTGCTGTGCCACCAGCGCTCTGGCCCACCGCTCCTGCCGGGGAGTGTGGCGGCGTGGCTGTGAGCTCCTGCTGCTCTGAGCGGCGTGGTAAGGGGGCGGGGAGAGGTTGGATAAGGGGCAGGGTGTCCCGGGGGACAATCAGGGGACAGGGAGCAGGGGACGGTTGGATGGGGTGGAGGTTGGGGGGGGGGAGCGGTCAGGGGACGGTTGGATGGGGTGAAGGTTGGGGGGGGGGAGCGGTCAGGGGACAGGGAGCAGGGGGGTTGGATGGGGGTGTGGGGTGTGGATAGGGATTGGGGCAGTCAGGGGACAGGTAGCAGGGGGGGTTGGATATGGGGTGGGGATCCCAGGGGGCATTCAGGGGTGGTGGTGTGGATAGGGGTCATGGCAGTCAGAGGACAGGGAGCAGGGGGGCAGTTGGATAGGTGTGGGAGTCCTGGGGGCCTGTCAGGGGGTGGTTGGATGGGGCAGAGAATTGTGGGGGGGGGGTCAGGGGATAGGTCAGGGGATGGGGAGCAGGAGGGTTGGAAAGGGGGTGGAGTCCCAGGGGCGGTTAGGGCCAGGAGTGTGGATAGGGATTGGGGCAGTCAGGGGACTGGGAGCAGGGGGGTTGGATAGGGGGTAGGGTCTCAGGGGGTGGGGGTGTGGATAGAGGTCAGGGCAGTCAGGGAGCAGAGGGGGTTGGATAGGGGGTGGGGTCCTGGAGGATGGTTAGGGGCAGGGATCCCAGGAGGGGGCTGTCAGGGGGACAAGGAACAAGGGGGGTTGGATAGGTCAGGGGTTCTGAGGGGGGCAGTCGGGGGGCAGGAAGTGAGAGGGGGTGGATGGGGGCAGGGGCCAGGCTGTTTGGGGAGGCACAGCCTTCCCTACCCGGCCCTCCATACAGTTTCACAACCCGATGTGGCCCTTGGGCCAAAAGATTTGCCCACCCCTGCACTAGCAGCATCCCTCTCCACCAACCAGTGACTCCGCCCATTCTCCTCCTCCCCTAGGCTTCTGGATAGTTCTGGAACCTTCTTACTGTTTCCTAATAGGCATAACGAGAACCTTTGTGATCTCATCACTTCCCAGAGCTTAAAGCTTTCATTCTCAGTCTGAAATTTCCCCCCAACGTTTCTAATACATTAAAAAAACTTTAAGCAAAGGCTTCATCAGTCAAAGTGACAGATTGAAAAAAAGGGAGAATGTCAGTGAGGAGGACAGAAATTCACTGGGTTGAGGTCTTTGGCGGGGGGTGGGGGTGGGGCAGGGACCCTGGAGGTTTTTACAACCATGAGTTTCACCTGTAATGTTGTGGAGGAGGAACCATGTAAACTGAAAACTGTCTAGTTTACCTTTGTGTCAATAGCATGCTTCAGAGCTTTAATTAGATGTAAATACATAGTAGCTTAACATTGTGGTTTATGACTGGTTCAAGTATGATGACAATGAGATTCAAGTCAAATTACTAGTCTTCTAATTGTGACTTCTGGGGTGTAGTTTAAGGTAAGCACACATTATTTACTAGATGTCTGAATCAGTTTGATATAGAAATTGTGTGTTGCAATGTTAACATTGGCTGGAATAAAGCGGAGGTATTGAAGGGATTGAGTCAATTAAAATTTTTCTAATACATTGAAACATTGTGCTGGATTCCCTTTCCTCTTCCCGAGCTGTTTGTTCTTTTCCATTCTCCAAAAATGATCCTCCACACATTTCCTGAGAGCTGTGGCTGTGGCCTTTAGTCATAGAATATAACACATTTGTGATCCCTAGAGATGACTTCCAATTGAATTAGCGGGTACCTTGTGAGTGATTTGAACACTTGGCTAGCTAACAATGAAATGAAGCATCTCTACCTGATTTGTGAATGAAACTCTAGTTTAATTTGAAAAAGACCTTCATTCCTGAATTTACATTTATTATGAAGCATCATATAATATTACTAACTGGAAACAGTGTCCTCCAGTTTTAACATTTTAAAGCTAAAAGTTCCTCATTTTTGTATTTGCTTTTGCTGGTGGTGCTAAGTATAGCAGTTGAGTAAGCGTTATTTTTCCTTGTGTCAGTATTATCTGACATTCAGAGTTCAGCTGATCTGGCAACTGAACAAAATGCTCTTAAGATGCAGACTTACTGTTCCCTCCCCCCCTCCCAAATTCAATCCTTGGAGTAAGTCTTGAATATAGGCATAAAAAAGCCAGACTTCAATCTTCTCTCTGCTAATGCCTCTTTCTTTCTAACCCAGGTCACCCAGTTCAGTTCTACAGCATGAACAGACCTGCCTCCCGGCACACCCCCCCAACAATAGGGGGCTCTTTACCATACAGGCGCCCTCCTTCCATCACTTCACAAACGAGCCTTCAGAACCAGATGAATGGAGGGCCTTTTTATAGCCAGAACCCAGGTAAGAGGGTTACTTCAGTATATCCAATCCAAAACACCAGTGTGTTCATAACTTCAGAGTTGTGAAGTCTCTTTGATACTGCACTGTTTCCACAGTAGATTTTGTGTGCTGCTTTAGGTGATTTCTAATACAGTGTTGGTAGCCCTGGTAAGGCTATTGTCCACATATAAGGTGTTCAGTTCCCATTAATGCAAACAGCCTAGAATAGTTTATTTTTAATTGAAGCGAGTATAAAATAAAAGTGTCTGACTCGACAAAACAGTGTGGGGAGGCACTACACACAATCCCCTTTACACGGCTCATCCGGTGGATCTCATTCTTGGTCTGCAGTACCCCTGTTGTTCCAATCCTGGTTGAGGATTGAGTGTTTGGTCTTTCATGAACTATTCGAATCCTGGTTCCCAATTACTTCAGCCTGGAGAATTGTATGTTTCTCTCCTGAATAATGGTCAGTCTAGGAGGCAGGGCTTTCCTCTTGGAGTGTGTTTTATCAGGCATCTAGGGTCAGGATGCCATTGGTGCTAGACATGGCAGGTAGGAGGAGCTCTGCGACAGGAGTCAAGCTTCATATATGCTGGTGTTAGTCTAGCTGGTGACCCTTCTCTAAAAGTAGGTGGTTTAATTCTTATCTGCTCAATTTTGAGACTTAACAAGAAGTGACATGTCCTGTATCTGAGTAGGAAAGTGCTGACCATTCATATAACCAGACCTCTTGCCCACATTTCTGATTAGAGAGGAAGGTGCTGTAACAATAATGGAGATGGGAAGATGTTTGGCTTCAGAACAGATTTTCCTTTATACAGAAGATGCAGAGAGATTCAGTAGGAATGTTTGAAGATTATTGATTTTCAAATTTCTTATACTTAAGCTAGATACGTGCAAGTGGTGCAGTGATGCTATTCTGCAGTTTTAAATTGTACACGTAACTTGGAATTATGGTCAGATTCCAGCATCTGGCCTCGGGGATTTGATCAAACTCAAACATATCATTTTATCTCCAGTTGCTAGCTAGCCTCCAAGAGGACGAGCTGGTGGGTGGGGGAGTGAAAACGCATGACTTAATTATACTAGCTACTTGAGTTATAGTATTTGTAATGTACATTTATACGCATGTTGAAAGGTGAAAAAAGATAGAGGGAGAAGGTAAAGGAAATAGTGTCAGATACAACTAAAAAGAAATGCCGTCTGAAGTAAAGAGGATTTTCAGTATATCCAGAGTGTTCTTGACCACTGTTCTGTATTTCTGTTTTTAATGAAACCTCCTTTGGAAGTTACCACTACTATATTGTAAAAGATGCCAGATATTCTGTAAATAAGTTATGTAACCATAATTCAGTCTGCTTACCCGAGAAGAAAGTAATGATTAAAAGGATTATTCACTTGAACTATAAATCACAAAGAAAATACTTCCATGGCAGGGACACTTGGCACAGCATAAATAAGGAGCTGCAGGAGAAGACGTTTTCTAAATCAATGTCCAGGCAGAATGTGGAATCTTAGTTGTATTCAGGGGGGTATTAAGGCAGGATCTGTGTATCTGGACTCCCAGGAAGGGAAGGGGTGCCTTTGGACTCGCCAAGTTAGAATCCATGAGTGGGGCATATGACAAGTGGTGGCTGTGGTTTCCCTTTGTAGAAGGAGGAAGCATTGGCAAGATGGGGGACCATAGCTGCTGCTTAGCCCTACTGTAGGGTGGGAGAAAGAACAGATCTTAAAGTTTGGGGAGACCAGTGGAGGGAGGAGAAGGAGGAGAGGATTTTTGGGGTGGGGAAGTGAAGGAAAGGCCTTTGGAGATTATTCAGGATAGAAGAAACGGGGATGTCAGAGCAGGTTCATCCCATTTCATGTGTGGCATTTTTTTTTCAAGGAAGCCAGTACTGTTTTTTTTCTCTCACATTGTGTGGATTTTGTGCAGGGGATATTGATGCATTCCCCCCCTCCCCCAGTGTATTTTTTATATGCTTTCGGCATGAATTTTTTTCTGGATAGCACTACTAAGGCTGTTTAACTTTTATGCTGCAGTGGTGAGGCTGTTTTTGGAAGGCTGTGGGGATGTAAGCATGTCTGTGTTTTATATAAATATGTCTAAAACTGGGTTCTGAAGAGCTACTACCAATTGCAAATTACTGACTGAGGATAAAGAGGATTTATGACTCTCCTTCATTGTGGGAAAGAAGGAGAATTGAGTAAAAGATGGCACCTGCATACAATCACTTCGCTCGTCACAGAAATGCAACTGCTTCTGGGATGCAACACGAATGCTTAGTAATACTCAGTAATATTGCCCAGCAGTTATATTTAGTGAAGTATACCATGTCCAAATGCAACTAAAGGGGGGAATTCAGATAGAACAAAATTACCTGAGTTAGAGAATGTACTGAACGCTGGTATTAACATCCCTAGTCTTTTCATAGATTCCAAGGTCAGACAGGATCGGTGTGATTGTCACAGTTCAGGGAAACTGCACCTGTATTCCCCCTCTATGTTCAGTGAGGGCACCCACTCTTGACGCCAGGCTCCTCAGAAGAATCTGTATGCCTGCCGATAAGCCTACCAGAGAACACCCCAACTCCAGCAAGGAATCTGGCAGTTGATGAGTTCTTCAGACGTCACAAAGGGATTTTTTTCTGTGGGCACAAGTTCAAAATAGCTGTTAGCTCAGAACAAGCCCCAGGTCCCCCATGTATCTCTGAGTCACTCCTGTGTACAGTTTGGGTCTTTGATCTGCAGAGACCCTGAATAAGTAATCAGCCAGATAATGGTTCCGTCCTCAGGGCGAAGTTTCAGAAGGTTGGATCTTTGCATAACCAGAGGTGGTGAGAACTCCACTTAACTTTGTTTGTCTGGTGCATTGTTGAAAATAGTCCTCTGAAGCACATAACACTTCTCAAGGTATACACTAACCACATCTTCCCCTAGAGAAGTGACATACAATCCCACAATAATACATACACTTTGCATTTTTAATACAGCAAACTCCTAAAATACTTAAACTTCATTGAATTAATTTTAATTTAATTCAGTAAGGTTTGTCCCGGATATAGCAGGAAATTGCCACATTTATCACAGTTTTCAGAGTAGCAGCCGTGTTAGTCTGTATCTGCAAAAAGAAAAGGAGTACACCTTAGAGACTAACAAATTTATTTGAGCATAAGCTTTCGTGAGCTACAGCTCATTTCATCGGATGCATCCGATGAAGTGAGCTGTAGCTCACGAAAGCTTATGCTCATATAAATTTGTTAGTCTGTAAGGTGCCACAAGATCCTTATCTATCACAATGATCATCTAGTCTGATATCCTGTATGACACAGGCCATAGAACTTCCCCACAATAATTCCTGGAGCATATCTTTTTAGAAAAACCTCTAATCTTGATTTTAAAAATGGTTAGTGATGGAGGATCCACTGTGACCTGGGTAAATTGTTCCAGTGATTAATTACCCTCACTGAAAAATGTACACCTTATTTTCAGTCTGAATTTTTCTAGCTTCAAGCCATTAGATCATGTTGTACCTTTCTCTGCTAGAGTGAGGAGTCCGCTATTAAATATTTGTTCCCCATTTGGTACTTTGACTCTAATCAAGTCACCCCTTAGATGAGATGAGCTCTTTGAGTCTGTCACTATAAGGCAGAAAGAAAAGGAGTACTTGTGGTACCTTAGAGACTAACAAATTTATTTGAGCATAAGCTTTCGTGAGCTACAGCTCACTTCATCAGATGCATTTGTTAGTCTTTTTCTTTTTGCGGCTACAGACTAACACGGCTGCTACTCTGAAACCTGTCACTATAAGGCAGGTTTTCTAATCCGTTAATCATTCTCATGGCTCATCCCTGAACCCATTGCAAGATTCTTCTTGAATTGTGATCACGAGAACAGAGGTCGCACCAGATCCATAGTAAATTAACCTCTCTACTCCTACTCGTGATACCCCTGTTTATGCATCCCAGGATCACATTAGCCCTTTTGGTCACAGCATCGTACTGGGAGCTTATGTTCAGCTGATTATCCACTTTGACCCCCAAATCTTTTTCAGAGTTATTTCTTCCTAGGAGAGAGCCCCCCATCCTGTAAGTATGGCCTACTTTGTTCCTAGATGTGTACATTTACATTTAACTGTACTAAAATGCATATTGTTTGCTTGCATCCAGTTTACCACACAGTCCAGATTGTTCTGTATTAATGACCTGTCCTCTTCAATATTTTAACTCCTCCCTCCCCAGTTTGCGTGTCATCTGCAAACTTTATCAGTGATGATTTTATGTTTTCTTCCAGGTAACTGATTAAAAAAGTTAAGTAGTGTAGGGTCAAAAACAGATTCCTGTAGGACCCCAATAGAAACAGGCCTGCTCAATGATTGTTGCCCATTTACAATTACATTTTGAGACCTATCAGTTAGCCAAGCTTTTAATCCATTTAATATGTGCCCTGTTAATTTTATATTCATTCTAGTTTTTAATAAAAATAGGCATGGGTACCAAGTCAAACATCTTACCAAAGGGTACGTGTATTACATCAACACTATTGTCTTTATCAATCAAAAACTTGTAATCTCATTAAAAACATTGTTAGTTTGGTAGGATCTGTTTTTCATAAACTCATGGTGTTTGGCATTAAGTGATTGCTTTCCTTTAAGTCTTTATTAGTTGAGTTCCTTATCAGTGATTCCATTATCTTGCCTTGAATCGATATCAGACCGACAGACCTATAATTACCTAGGTCATCCCATTTACCCTTTTAAAATACTGGCATAACGTTAGCTTTCTTTCAGTCTTCTGGAACTAGCCCAGTGTTCCAAGGCTTATTGAAAATCAGCATTTAATGGTTCAGCACGCTCCTTGGCCAGCTCTCTTAAAACTCTTGGGTGCAAGTTATCTGGGTGTGCTGATTTAAAAATATGTAACTTTAGTAGTTGCTGTTTAACATTCTTCTGAGATACTAGTGGAATGAACAGTGTTGTTATGATTAGACTACATCATCTGATTTTTTTCAAATAAAGAAAAGAAAGATTTATTGAAAATTTGGCTGCCTTTTGTGAAGTATGATTGATGATTCTATCATTTTTATGTGGTAGTGGACTAATACCATTGTTAGGATACTTTTTGTTCCTAATATACTTAAAACACCTACTCCTTATTGGCCACAGATTTCTCCTTGTGTCCCTTTGGTTCCCTTATCAAATTTATACAACTCCTAGCTTCTGATCCATATTTGTTACTATCAACTTTCTTCTGTTGTTCTCTCTCTCTATTTTTATAGCTGCCTTCGCTTCTCCCCTAAACCAGGTTGGTTTTTTAACCAATATGGTCATCTTTCTTGATTGTGGCTTTTTGGGCATCTACTAAAGTGTTCTTAAATGTCTCCCAGTTAGTATTCACATTTTTTTCTGATTAAATTCTTCCTCCTGGCTGATTTGGCTCATGATTGTTTTCAGCTTTCTGGCTCTTCTTAAAGGACCAAGTATATATTTTCCTGATTTAGAGTTTATTCTGTTCGGACATTATAAATGTGATCAAGTCATGATAACTTGTACCTAAGGTATCATTAAAGAGTTGCTGATCACAGAAACAAAAATTGTCTATCAAGACTAATCTTATGAAGTACAACAGGATCTCTACTGATCACAAATAGCCAAGGCCTCTGTTTGATATCTCCACTAAAAGATATTGTCTGATTACCCATAGCAACCCTTTCAAAATATTAACTAACCCATTTTAAATACTAGTTGCAAAAAAAAAAAAAAAAAAAAAGTGTAGACGTTCTACATTAGAGTAATGCCAAGTTTCTTTACAAAATAAAATGAAAAATTCTCTTAGTACCATCCTACTTTTAAAACACCACTGTTTTGCACAGGTCATACATATACTCAGATATTTAGCCCTTTATTTTAATGAGAACTCTGTACTTACTTTTTAAAGGAAGTTAATGAGGGTGATTGAGAAATAATCTTAAATAATTAAATATATTTTTCCTCTGCCTTCAAACAAAACCATTTAAATTGTTCTCCCCCACCCCCTCTCAAATTTATATTTCCTGGACAGTTAATTCTCTTGAGGGAATTTTAAAGTGAGGCTCTAGACCCCTGAAAATAAAAGTTTATAAGAGAAGTACTGAAAGTTCCTTCATCTTCCACGTGTGTGCAGTTTCTCAAGGGTTTTCTCTCTCTTATTCACACCTAACACAAGTGAATTGCATGTTTCCTGAGGTCATTTGGGGTGTATCTAGATAAATCCCTTCTGGAGCTTGGGGTGAAGGTGAAACTGGGGGCGGGATGGGGGAGGAACTGGGGCTAGAGGCATGGCTGGCCTGGGTACAGAGAGGAAATGAGGGCGGAGCCAGGCTTGGGGCTATGTGTGGCTGGGTGGCAGTCCCTTCCTGCCCCCCATCTGGGCTGCCGCAGGCCCCACTGTGCCCCTCCCTCATTCCTCCGTGCCCCTCTAGGGGGGGTGCGGCCCACAGTTTGGGGATCATTGTGTTAGAGAGACAGACTGGGTGTAGTAATGTGTTTTGTTGGACCAACTTCGGTTGGTCAAAGAGACAAGCTTTCAAGCTTATGTAGAGATCTTCAGCTCTCTAAGCTTGAAAGCTTGTCTTTCACCAAGAAAACTTGGTCCTCACATACTTTGTCACTCTAATATCCTCAGACCAGCATGGTTACGTGAACACTGTCAACAAATCAATATTATGTTGTTGATCAAAAAGGAAAAGCTCTCTTGTATTTTGTTAGAGCTGTTCATAAAGTTTTATATTCTACTCCAATAAAAATAGAGTTTAAGAGAAGAAAGTATCTTCATGGTAGTTCGATGAAACAAGTTCTTAAACTGAGTTTTTGGTGTTATGTTAAGGAGCTGGTGTGGGAATTTTCAGATAGAGAGAACTAAAACTTGCTGCAAGTGATATTTATATTTCTTAAAGCTCTTTCTTTTGGATGTCATCCTTTTTGTCACACCTCCTTTGTCAGCTTGCTGTAGTGCCCTAATGATGGATATGCCTACTTTCCTGTTTGTCGCGGTTTTATTTCTAATTTATTTGTCTTTTTTTACTCCTTTGCTGCAGTATCCCTTGCTCCTCCTCCTCCTTCCATCCTACAGGTAACTCCACAGTTACCACTGATGGGATTTGTGGCCAGAGTTCAAGAAAATAGTAAGTTTGCTTCTTCCTTGTGCTATGATAGGGCATTGGGTATGGCCTTTGTTTCATGCGTGGAAAAACCTTAGCTGTACGTAGCTAGAATTCTGCTTTTTAATATTTTTCTTTGTTTGGTGAATTTCAAATAAAACAGGAAAAAAACAAACAAGATGAAAAATATTTGTCAAGGGAATCTGATCCTTTCGCCTCCCCATCTTAGTGTTCCTAAATTCTAGCGGTAGGTCCCCATGAAACTAGCTAGGAAGCTCTTGACTAGAGACCACTACTTTTAATCTGCTACCGTAGTTCTAGAGGGTGTTTCATGCTGATCTTGCTGCTTATTTTTAGTTTCAGATACTCCCCCTCCTCCTCCACCTGTAGATGAGCCAGTCTTTGATGAGTCCCCGCCTCCACCCCCACCCCCAGAAGATTATGAAGAGGAGGAGGCAGCTGTGGTGGAGTACAGTGATCCTTATGCTGAAGAGGACCCTCCATGGGCACCAAGGACCTATTTAGAAAAGGGTAGGGTTAAAGAGAGAGAGAGAGAGATGGTGGTATCGTCAGTTCTACAGTCTTTTGCTAAAACCCCTAACTTCAGAATTTACCTTTGTTAAATGAGAATCTTTCAATAGGTCTGTTGGTTGCTTTGGATAATTAAGCTTTTATATCATTAATCTGCAATTCCTAAAGAAGTCACTTTGTCACCTTCCCGTCAGTCCATATAGTTTGTGATTCTAGAGATTTGCTCTGGGTGCAGAATTGATCCCTTCAGTTGAATCACAATGGTTTTTTTTATTCAAACGAATTCTCTAGGATGCCACCGTGTGTCTAGTAATATGAGTCGTTGCTATGTAGGACAGGTTTCTTGCACATTGCTTCATTAACACAGTACTGGATATTAAGAGTATGCTACTGTGTGGTATCCCATCTGATTTCTCCCCTCTTCCCATTGTACTGGAGATGGTGCCTATAAAGTACATTCTGCAAGGTTACCAGGAACATAGGACAGGGAATGGACTTCCTGGGCCATTAAGTCCAGTCCCCTGCTTTCATGGGCAACCCATCATATAATCCTGTTCATAAATTTATCAACCTCATTCTTAAAACTAGGTTTAGGTTGCCCATCCCCACTACTCCCATTGGAAGGCTTTTCCAGAGAGTCGCTTCACATAGTTAGAAACCTTCTTCTAATTTGCAGCCTGAATTTATTCATGGCCAATTATATTTATTTGGTTTTGTTACCAACATAGTCCTCTAGCTTAAATAGCTTTTCTTCCTCATTCTTGCCACTTGATGTGTTTGTGCTTGAGTCACAGTAATGATGCTATACTTAAGACTGCAGTTGGCTTTCTATTATAACTCCAGTTTTAATCTCTCCTTGATCTCTTAAAAAAAGAGACCTGTCTGAAATTTTGCATGTTACTTTGAGAGAGACATGTTTAGGAAAAGTTTCAGTTTTAAGCATAATATGTTTGAGAAGTGAGACTTTGGAAGGCAAGTACCAGGCAAGCTCCTTGTTCCCCATAGCTGGCATTAGCCTTATACCCAGACTTAGAAGTCTGTCCAGATCAAGACCTTTCAAGCTATGCTGGCTTTGTCAGAGAGGTCACCTTCCTTGAGGTAGTTTCTGTATTTTCCCTCAAGCAGTATGCAACCCCCACTCTCCTCAGGACTGCTGGATTTCGTGAACCTTTAGAAAGCAGTGCCCCTCTCTCAGCAACAGATGTTCAGACATGAGGTTGTAAAAGGGCTGCCTGGTGCCAACCACACCAGTTCATTCCATTCTGTGGTTAGCTGTGTGTGTAGGAACTTTCTCTTGATGGCTGCAGGGATTTATGGGGATTTTATCCAAATCTCCCCTAAGGGTGGTTAGATGGTAGTAAAGTTAGTAAGTGTTAGACAGCTTGTGGCAGTTGCACACTTGGTTTTTGTCTGCACCATGGACATTGGTATTGGCTGGCCAGACCTCCAGAGACAAGGGCAGATTTTAGTAGTCTGTGCACATTCTACTTGTTGGCTTTGTCTGCAGGATCCAGCTAAGTGTGAAAAAGCTTAGCTCTTTCCTCTCCGACGCTTTTGGGAAGATATCTGTTCCCACGGTTCCTCGTGCAGTGTGTGGCACTGCTGTGGTGACAGCACTGACCTGGCCTTACATTAGAATGTCCACGTTAAGTGATTTTGGCATGCTGATGACACACATCAGAAAGGTAATGGTGACTTTCAAAAGCTTATCTCTCTGCCAAACTTAAATGGGAATTCATGGGGCAAAAAAGAGGCCATTCCCTGCCCCCAGTGTTTTGTCCTTGACAGAGTTTGAAGGCCTCCTGAAAGCGATGAAGTTAGAGCTGCTCACAAAAATAGTTTTAAGAATCTCAGAACGAAAAGTGAGTGTGTGCGCGTGTGTGTGTGTAAAGCTTAAATTCCATCTTGACCGGGTACCTTTTTGGGGAATTAGTTACACTAAATTTCTTTCACAGGCTAAAAACATGGTTAATATAGAGTAGGGTAATGTCACCACAGTGCACAGAAAAACGAAAATTTCTGTTACTGCCACTGAAAACTTTTTGTTGAGAAATCCTGGTTCCAGTTGCGAAGCAGGGCAGTGTGCCTATAAATAAATAAAGAATGATATAAAATGTAGCACAGCAAGACTTTCCAACTGTGGGTAGTGAATGTTCGACACTCCAACAACATTCACGCTTAGGGTTGCCAACTTTCTACTCGCACAAAACGGAACACCCTGGCCCCGCCCCCTACCCCACTCCTCTGAGGTCCAACCACTGCCCTGCCCCTTCTCAGAGGCCTCACCTACCCCCCCTCCCCCCCGCTCATTTCATCCCAATTTCACTCACTCATTTTTACTGGGCTGGGGCAGGGGGTTGGGGTGCGAGGTGTGTGTGTGTGTGAGGGCTGTGGCTGGGGGTGCAGGCTCTTGGGTGGGGCTGGGTGATGGGGATGATGAGTTTAGGGTGCAGGAAGGTGCTGTGGGCTGGGACTGAGGGGTTCGGAGTGCAGGAGGGGGATCAGGGCTGAGGCAGGGGGTTGGGGTGCAGGAGGGGCTCAGAGGTACAGACTCCGGCCAGCACTTACCTCAAACCGCTCCCGGAAGCAGCAGCATGTCCTCTCTCCTGTTCCTATGCAGAGGTACGGCCAGGCAGCTCTGCATGCTGCTCTGTCTGCAGGCTCTGACCCCGCAGCTCCCATTGGTCACGGTTCCTGGCCAATGGGAGCTGCAGATCTGATGCTTGCAGCAGGGGGCAGCGCACTGAGCCCCCTGGCTTTCTCCGATGCATTGGAGCCAGTGGGGGAACATGCTGCTGCTTCTGGGAGCCACGCAGAGCCACGGCAGGCAGGGAGCCTGCCTTGTTGCGCTGTGCTGCTGACAGGACTTTTAATGGCCTGGTCAGCAATGCTCACTGGAGCCCCCAGAGTCTCTTTTTGACCGGGTGTTCTGGTCAAAAACCGGACGCCTGGCAACCCTAGTCACACTGCACCAAGAGAGAAAATTCATCCATGCAAGAAAAGTACTTTATTTTTATTTATTTAAAAAAAAATTGAAAGTAGCTGGGGAAGAAATGAAGATTGTGAAGAAGCAACCTCTGCCAGTCCCAGCAGACTCCAAAACTGTTGTCTCTTTTCCTACCTAACTGCCATAAGTGTGTGGTTCACGAAACACCCAGACTTCACCGGCAGGCTGAAACAACTTGTCAGACAAAATGTCTGACTTGCAGGATATTTGCATGCATTGCTACACTTAGTGACCTTTCCATGGATCTGATTGACATCGTTCTATCGATGCACACAGACTCTTTTGTTTGATAAACATTGCTTCAGCTTATTTGTGTCAAGGAGGCTTATTTCCATGAGGGAGGGCAGGAAAAAAAGCCACTGACACAAAGCATGACTGTCACAGTGGAGTGTCTGGAATGGGCATGCCGATTACTGACCTTGGTGCACCTGACACGGAGTGATCAGCTTTTTCTGGGAGGTTAAATCTCTCCATTGCACTTCCTTCTGTGAGAATAGGCGGCATGTTTTCTTCAGACTAGGACCAGGACAGGTCACTTCTGTAAATCTTTACCCTTGTTGATCAGATTAATTGTTCACAAACATTTGCTTCTTGCTTTGTACCCTGGGTAGTATTGAGGGCACTCAGCATTCGCTCTGTTTTTGTTGCTTGCGGACACTGCTTATTCTGCGAGGCATTTTCTGTTGGGTGAAGCTTACTGCACTGTTAGCGTGTTCATAAGAAACAGTAAGTCCCAAATATTTCATGAGGAGAACTTTCCCCATGTGAGACTTCTCACTCTTTTGGCTGTTGTTGTATTTCCTAACTCCAAATACACTTGTAGAGAGCAATCTTCACTCAAGTTCTGGTAGCCTTGTCACCTGGACCTCAGGAAAACTTTGCTGGTCTTTAATCGAATAAAGGAGAATGCCACTGTTTGTTGTGTTACTAATGCAGGGTTTTAAAGAAGTGTGACATAGTTGCTAGTTAGAGTAGGACGTAAGGTTCAAAGCTGGTGGGCCAGCTGATGTTGAAGTGCAGTTTATGGACACAAACTGCTGTGCATTATATCTGCTTAGTCTTTGAGCAAAGACTGTTTTGTTTTTTTTCCCTCTGATTACTTCCGTTAGCTGTTGTGGCTGTTCAGTACTATGGGAAAGTGAACTAGATTCTGTTCTGCCTCAGCAGAATTAATTGCATTCCGGTTGGAGGGCAAATATTTGCCCTCAGTTCCATTTGGGCAACCCCATTGTGTTCAGCCTGGTTGGCCAGGTTTAACTGGAGGCACTCACTGAATCTTTTTGCGATGGATAAACCCAAATAACTTTCATATCTCAGGGTGAATTTGCAGTGCCAACTCTTAGGGGAGGAAAAACGTCTTATGTATGAATTAAGCAAATTTCGATAGGAAAGTCAGAACCCTAATGAACATGACTCCCCATGAAGCCATTTTAGTCATTTTATTTTGGGAAATTTGGGCATGAAGTAGTTAAATATTTTAGAAGGTGAACGGTTCTTGGATGAAGGACTGATATTCTCAGATTAAAGGAACCATGTAGGTAGGACTAGACCAGGGGTTGGCAACCTATGGCACGCGAGCTGATTTTTAATGGCACACTGCTGCCTGCCGGGTCCCAGCCACCGGACCCAGGCCAGGACCCCGGCAGGCAGCAGCTTGCCATTAAAAAATCCTGCCCGCCCTGGCCCGCTCTTCTCCACCCCCCCTCCCACGGGGGCAGGGTGAAGAAGCTTGGTCCTGCTGGCTGCTGCTGCAGGGCAGGCAAGCTCCCCCTCCCTCACCTCTTCCCCCAGCGTGGTGGGTTCCTGCCCCTCCTCTCCCTCCCTGCCGCTGATCAGCTGATCGCCCTTGCGTGGGAGGGGGAGAAGTGGAGCCACAGCGCGCGTGTGCTGCTCTGGGGAGGAGGCGGAGGAGAGGTGGGGACGGGGCCTTGGGGAAGGGGGGTGGAATGGCTTCATGGAGCACGACCCCAGCCCTCTGTCCTGACCCCTGCAC